CCCCAAAACCCCAAAACCCCAAAACCCCAAAACCCCTCAATTTTCTAAAACCGTTGAATCATATAAAATTCTCAAAAATGGCCAATCAATTATTCATCAAGAGAACTAGCTGTATCAGGACCCATAAGACCCAATGCAAGTTTTCTCTCTAAAATATACCTACTCCTCTGTTAACAGCTCCGAAGCCTTCTTAAAATTCTTAAGTTAAAATTTGGAAAATATTCAGCACAATTTGTAGGTGGCTGAGTTCTTTAAGGAATTAAGCCTGGGTTCGTGCCTAGGCTTCTGTGTAGGAAGAGATTTTGTGTGTGGGTTAGGAATTGGAAGAATTTTGAAGGGATTTTAGGGAATTTGAGGGGATTTAGGTGTTTTTGGGGAATGAAATTTTATAGATGATGAAATGGAGAAGCAGATAAGGAATGTGAAGCAGAAGTAAGTGGGGTTTTGAGGGGTTGAATGTAGTTTGGAGAGAGGTTTTAAGGAAATTAAGGATATAGTGCAAGGTTCTAAGCATGAGACTTCGAGGAAATGCCCACAGACGAAGATAACAAGGAAATATGTGGGAAGTCTGATTGCGAATAGAAAGACATCTCGGAATCATCTAAACTGTGCCACAAATCTTAGCAAAACGAAGGAGGAGAGGAAGGAATGTAACAAAGGAGTCCTTCTTAGAAGATCCTTAGCCCAGACACCTCCTTTGTTTAAATAAAGAGCAAGAGAAAGAAGAATCTGGATGCATTTTGGATGTTAATAAAAGTTTTAAAAAGCCAATGATTGTGCAAATAGGATCAAATCCTGCAGTTAGTAGGTATGGACGTGTGGATAAACAGCTGATTCCAAAGGTAACTCCAAAGAATAATGACAGCATGAAGGAAAGTCACAGGATATTTAAGGCTAAATCTCTGAAGAATAAACCTCAGTCTGCTTATAGAAATAAAGGGAAGCCTTTGAATTCTTATCTTTTAATTCAGACAAGTGAGAGCATTGCTGATAGTGTGAGCATCAAGACAAAAGCTCAGGCGAAGGTTGAAGGAAGGATGGAAAGTAGACTTATTAAAAACACTCAAGGATCTGGCTCTACCTCTCAGAATTCAGCGAATAACAAGCTTCTCTACATTGAAAGTTCAAATTCAGGGGTTCCGATGAGTTACAGAGTTAATAATGAGAGCTCAATAACACCTTATACCCAGCCAACTCAGAACAGACAACTTTCTGGTGAGAAAAGAGGCAATCTAATCAATAAAAGAATTATGACCAGTCATAGTCGTACGAGACCAATGAGTTATACCTTCCATTATCCCAGCAAGAACACATCTCATAGGCCTTATCAAAACAGAATAGTTGGGTCTCATAAGATCAAAGAGAGTACTAGATATACAAATATTACAAGGCCAAACTCCAGACGAGCGAGGCTCAAAGAAGCCTCAGGAGAGGTTTCTAGACGAGTTAAAAGAGCCGAGACAGTGACACCTTGCACTAAGATAACAATTCCAGATTCAAAAATGAAGCTTCGGAAGGAATTTAATGACATGAATTCTCTAAAGTACCACATCAGTCATGATAAGATCGATAAAGAGTATATAATCACTTCAACTGTTTTGGGTACAGGTAGTTATGCCGTGGTTAAGCTTGGGGAATCAATTCCTCCCCCTGGGGACATGCCAGTCCAGGTAGCCATTAAGATCTATGAGAAGAACAAATTGTTCACTAATAAACACAGAAGATTGAATTTGTACAATGAAATTACAGTATTGAAATCCCTTAAGCATCCAAATGTCATAAAACTGATCAAGGTATTTGAAGATAGAAGCAAGATCTACCTTGTATTAGAATATGTCAAGGGTGTTTCCCTCTACAAATATATCAAAGAAAAATCCCATAGGCTTAAAGAGAAAGAAGCAAATTTTATTTTTAAGGAAATCCTGAAGACCCTCACTTATATTCATAAGAATGGAATCGCCCATCGAGATGTGAAATTAGACAATATTTTGGTGACTAATGAGAAACTAGACCCTAACAATTTTGAACTCCCAGCCAAGCACATCAAAGCAATCGATTTCGGATTCGCTGTGAAGTATGATAAAGGAGATAAATCAAACACATATTGTGGGACTCCTTCCTATATGGCTCCAGAGATCATTAAAAGAGTCGAATTTGACTATGAAAAAGGAGATGTGTGGGCTCTTGGAGTCGTACTTTATGCCCTAATGTGAGGAAAATTTCCTTTCAAAGGCATCACAAATAAAGAATTGTATAAAAATATTGTTAAAGGAGAATACAATACACCTAAACACTTTACAATGGATACAAAAAGACTGCTATGAAAAATGTTAGAGCCAGATTTTAAGAAGCGAAAATCCTTCAGCGATCTTTCCAAGGATGATTTTATCACCTCAAGCATTTCTGGAAGCGTGATGGATGAACTAAAGCGTCGAAATTATCAACTTAAAAAGGTCTATACCAAGACCAAGGGTAAAATTCTTGGCAAAATAAAAGAAAAGGCTGCTTCTCCTTAAAGGACTTAAGATAATTATCTTCTCAGAGATTTCAAATATACCAAAAATTAGAGGGGTTTTGGGGTTTTGGGGTTTTGGGGTTTTGGGGTTTTGGGG